GGAAAAATCTTATACACATTGCTGAGTGTAAAAGCCAAGAAAAGGAAGGCATAAATATGATCTTTAAATGATCCACTCGATTTTTATTTCCTTTCAAATGAAAACTATTGTGATAACCCTGCATGGGAGGGTTGTTGGAAATTCTTTCTGCTCTAAAAGCTGATGCTCTCAAAACATGTGTTTTCCCCCTTCTCTGTAGCTGATCAGAGAATCATAAGCCTTGCCAAACACTTAACTAAACTGCCCTGCAAGATAATTCATGTCATTTTATAATACTTATATAATATATGTTTTAATTCTTTTGAATATTATCAGCTGGTTAAAACTAGAAAATATTTGTCTTGATAAAAGCTCCAAATCAAGGCTAAGAAGGTGAAAATAAAACCCTCTGGCATTGTAAATAATGGAATACAGGACTCAGTGTTATAATCAATATAGTCCATTTGAAGTTGAGGTGTGACACACAGTACTGCTTGCCTTGTAATCACTGATAAATTGTGGTCTTGGGCACACTAATTCCATGTGGGTGATGCTTTCTTTTGTTGGTTTACAGGGTGTTCAAGGACTTTATCGTGGCTATAAAAGCACAGTATTAAGAGAGGTAAAACACTTGTCTTTTTCTCTGGTTTTTTTGTAATTGATTCCTTTGCCTCAATTTTCTAACAAGAGAGAGTTGTACAATTGAGATCAATTGCTCTAACCATAAGCTCTAAATCCCAGCATATTTCATTCTAGATAGGTTACTAGTCTGTAATTTAAATAGAATCCTGATAATGTGCATGAAGGAAACCACAGGTGATACATGCAAAACTTTATCTACCACTCTGTGTCTCAGTTCTGTTGCTGCTATATCAAAAAAGGATGGAAAGGTCTATGTTGACATGATGAAAACCATAAAGTAAAGTACTGGAAACTTTCTCAAGTCTTGTGATTGCATCATGTGAACTATATATGCCAACAGTGGTGAACTGGTGGCATTAGGCCAAGTTTAGCACAGACAGATTTAGGCTTTCTTTAAATATATTCGTCAGCAGATGCCAAGAGATTATCTGTCATCTGTCTATAGGGAGGATTGTGCTCTCTCTCTTTTTTATTTAATGTGTGAAAGAAATGCATTTAGTCATCCAGTCTGTAGATTTGATATGGCATTACTTAACTCTAAATCAGAACTATTTCATTGTTGGGAAAAAAATGAGGCTAAAAATATTTTAGGCTGCTTGGCAGAAAATAGTGGTTAAACAAAAATCTTTTCATAAATGTACTGTGAGTTACAGGATTAGTGTCATGGAAGTCTTTGATATGCTCTGTGGACTGAAGGCAGATTATAGAAGAAGTAGAAAACCTACTGATAAACTCTCAGGCTAAAATTGTTTCAGAATCAGATCCCAGGAGGTTATCTTGACAAAGCAGAAGTTGCATCATCTATGTGTTACCTCAAAGAGATGAGGCTATGGTTCCTTTGAAAACACAGACTCATAGAATGATTTGGATTGGAAAGGACCTTGAAGCTTATCTTGTTCCACTCCCTGCCACGGACAGGGACACCTTCCACTAGTCCACGTTGCTCCAAATCCCGTCCAACCTGGCCTGAAACACTTCGAGGGATGGAGCAGCCACAGCTTTTCTGGGCAGCCTGTGCCAGTGCCTCAGCACCTCACAGGGAAGAATTTCTTCCTGACATTTAGTCAGACATAACCACTGTTGTCCAGGAATGGTGCTTTACATGCTGTGCTCAATGTGGTATGTGTGGGTTTGTCTTCTACTTGTATAACTCAACTAGGTTTGCATCTTTGTGTCTTTGGATTTAAACTCAGGCTCAGATCTGTTGGCTCTGTTGCCATTGATAACAGTTGCAGAGGCATTTTAAGCTTCATACAATAGCTCAGCTTTTAAAAGCCTTTCTTCATGCTGCAAACTGTTTTTAGGACAGTTATTTTAGCCAGCTCTTGTCACAAGTATGAAATAAAGATGGATATCACCTAAAACAAGAAATACTAAATTTAGTGTTCCTTAAAGTGCTGACAAATGCTAATGCACTGCAGTCTATTTGAGAAGTTTTGAGTGTTTAAAAAATTAGTTATTTGTGCAGAGATGACACCTGCTTTTCTGAAGTGTAACCCCCACCACAGCTTTGTCCTGTGCTTATTTTCTGGCTCACTAAACACGTTATTCACTCAGATTTCATTTGCAGACAGGCAAAAAAGGCCAACGAATACGAATCGTTTTGATTTCTCTGAGGGGTTCTGAATAAATGAATAAATTTAGATCCCATTGAATACAGATTTTGCATACTAACAGGTAGATAAAACACACAGTTACTACTGGGTGCTATTCTCCTTAAAATTTGTTTTGACATATGTCAGGGTGGTAATTAATTTGCAGACCATATTCATGGCACAGTGTGTGACCCTGCTGAGATAACTTTGTTTACTCAAAATGGCAGCACTTTGTTGGAAATTTAATGGGGGTCCTCTCCATTATGTATATTCATAAAAGATCCTTCAGAACTGATTTCAGTTGAAGTATTGCTTTTGGGGAGAATCTGTCCAATAGAATGAGAAATAAATGATTACCAAATGAAATGTGCTTTCTCTTCAAAGTGAAACAAATCATAGGTGATGTTTAAAAAGGGGAGAAAAAAAATCTTTGAATTTAACAGGGCTGATGCATTTTTCTGACACTAAATATTGTACAGCAATGTCCACTCGAGTAAGAGCAGCATATTGAACCTTCAGTTGGAACTGTTGTATGCCTGACATTTAATCTTGGCATTTTTCCTTCTCTTTAAGTACATTTCTTCTTTTAGAGAAAGTCTTTATTTTCAGATAAAAATCTGTATTAATTCATTATTGGACAGATCCAGGTAGCTGTACAGCACATATAAACTGATATTTAATTCCATCTGACTTTTATATTTAGAGTTTGTTTACATGCTTTGGTTCTTTACCTACACAAACCCCTTTGTTCAGTTACAGAGGAGTGGGATTCTTTGAGTAGAGAGGCTTCAATGCATGATTTTTTTAATTTAAAAACTAATTGGAAGAGTCTGGGAATATCAGTGCTTTTCAGATGATGATATTTTTGCCCTGGCTAAATTCTTGAGCCAGAATTTCAGAAAGGTTAATTTTAGTTGTTTCATTGGGGTAAAATTTTGTGTATTGCATCAAGCAGATTTCAGTTCCTGGACACAGATCTGTTTGTCAATTGATTGGACTTCGGGGTGTGATGCTGAAACTTCGTCTTTGTAGTGCAGCAAAGCAGATCTTTTCAGGACAGCCTTACTGTGCTCTGTGTAATTTGCTTTAGCTGCTGCTGTTCTGGTGCAAGGTAGTTGTTTCATCCTTCAGTTTTGATTCTCCCTCTTTCTCTGAGCCCCATTATCTTCTCCTCAGAATGCTTTCTGAGCAGATGGATATTAGAAGAGAAAGGAAATGGCTAAATATGTAAAGCTTTTGGAAATAACTTTGAGTGAACCTCAACACTTGAAAGTTTTGGCTGTGACTCTTTTCACCTACTTCCCTTTTGGTGCCTCTTCTCACATCTCCGTTTCGTTTTGGTCTTTACATCTTCCTTTGATGTAGTTACACTGAACTAATCCTAAAATGGAAAGGGAAGCGAGGTACAGTGCCTCATTCTGTTGGCAGGAGAAGCCAAAAAGAGACATCTGTGCTCCAAGAGGAAAGCTTTTTGTAATAAAGCACAAAGTGGGAGTATGGTTATTAAGTTGCTGAATGAGACTTTGAATAAATGGTAGAAATTGGAGGCTGTGAAACGATGTGGAATTCCCATGATGTCATTTCCAAAGCAAATCCAAGTGGGAATTGTCCTTTCCTATGGTTGGAGTGTACTGGTGTGGAAACTGGATCATGCTACTAAGAACAGTCAATGAACAGGTAAATTTATTGATGTTTTTCACAACAGAGACAAGTTCATTTGTAAGATCTCCAACCATCTTATAACAAGGCAGGAGCAGACTATAAATCCACTGTAAATCCTCTTAATGAGAATATAGTTCTACAGCTGAGATCTATAAGCAAATGGAGCCAGATTTTTAATTCCTGCATAATCCATTTTATTAACTATGACCAAGTAGAACATCTGTTAAAATTCCATAATGTTCAGTTCATGGGAAAAAGAAAGAAGCTCTTGAGTTCCCGTTGGAGCTCTTCCATTTCCGTTAACGTTGCAGGACTCCAGCAGATGTCTTGAAGGAGGTTATTGTGAATGAGGGCACAGCACAAAAGGAAAGGAAGTGCTTTGTCCAGTTTCCCTGTGTGCAGTGAGTTACTTCACCCTGTGCACGTCTGTCTGCAGGTTGCAGTGCTGTGGTGAATGTCGTGTCCCTTCTGTCTGGAGCTACCACAGTTTGGAAGAATTGAGACAGTCCTGAGTGGGTTGTTCTGTGTGCTTTTCATTCAGTTGGTCACTGTTAAAGGTACTGCAGATGGACTGGGCATTAGCTTAGAGGTAGATTCAAAAGGAGCTAAAATGAATATTCAACTCTCTCTTAAAGGCAAAGGGGATGGAGGACAAGTGGCTCATTCATAGATGACTTTAAAGGAGGCTGAGACTTTCAAGTGTCTTTGCTATGCAGGTAGCCCTGAGTGAGCTTATTCTCTGTGTTGCCTCATAGACTTTTCTGAGCCAATTCTGCTTGTGCTGACCTCTATACAGGTGGTGGTGGCAATGATGCTTTGCTTCTCACTGTTGTTTCAGAACTCATCTCAGAGCTTTGAATTTGAAAGGAAAACTACTGATAAATCTGACCTCATTCCCATACAGCACACTATTGGCCTTGCTTTCAGGGAGGTTGCCCAGTTGTCACTTTTGGGAGTCCAAGTTAGTACTGTTGTGGGTTGGTTTGGGTTTTTTGTGTTGTTTTTTTTTCCCTTGAGTGTATGCAAGTCAGAGCCCTCAGTGGAT